TAGGGTATTTGCCCCAAACAACTTCTTTCAGTTTGGGTGTAGCATTTAGTACATGGATGGGTCAGCAGGGCCGAAAAGATCAGAGGCTAAATCAGTTTGCAAGTACCCGGAACAGAAAAAGCTTGAATTGGCTCTTTAAAAAGTATCCTGAGATTCAACACTTAAAAATCTATACTCACTTTATATAAGGGTAAGGAATCATTTTAATTGAGGTGGAATACATTGCAAATTGAATTTTTAAAAGATGCACTGTATTACAGAAGGACACACTTTTTCAATAATATAATTGTATGTGAACCAATAATTACGTATGTATTCAAAACCTTATTTTCCCAGAAATATGTGTTTTTAAAATATTTCCAGGAGTAGGCATATATCTTATTATCAGCTCTGTGTTCCACCTCATTCTTAAACCTCCATTCGTTTGTCATTTAGGACATATTTTTTGCTCAGTTGCACATCAGCTATGGTGATTGAATTTAAGACTTGTTGTCCATGACTGACTCTTAGTTCTGCTCACTGAAGTCCTTAAATTACCCCACGTTATCCTAAACACAAGTATGCCTTCTGCTACAGGGAATAAGAATGCATTATGTCATGAGAGGAATTAAATGGTATTTAGAGTCCTTTAAATAAAATATCATGACACCAAAAATTCCAGCTACTGCTTTAGGACTCATTAAGACACTTACATGTACACTATGGCAGCGATATTTTTCAATAATATGCACCTTTTGCTCTTTTGGGAGTGGATTCCAAGACATTAAACTCTGCTTTTTAATAAATAGTATTATTGTAATATTACAGCACTGCTTAATTCTGTTGAAAATAAATTCACCTTTAACTCACTAGAAATACCTTATGATTCTTTTGTCGGCCAATGTAAATACCTCTTTATTATTCCTTAGATCCAATACTATGTACTTAATATTATGTCTGGAAAATTGTACATATTTGAACATTTTTACTGAGTGCCTGCTTGGTAATGATGATGTTATTTATAGCTTATTGGGAAGATATGTTTAATAGTCAGAAAAACAATTAAACATAACATTCATGTGGACCTGGTGCCAGCTAGTGGTATGTATTATATATGCTTCCAAAAGAGAACTGCCTTTTCTAAATAACCAAGGGCACACATGATTTTATTGAGATCAAAAGTGCAGAAAAAAAAATTTTTTAAATGTCTATCCACCATGTTGGTGAGAACCAACAGAATATACATGAGCCATGAGCTCATGTTATGTTGTCTGGTGATGCTCTGTGCCACTATCTACCCAGTCCTATGCTCCCGACATTGTGATGAATCAGGTGTCTCTCGACCTCATTATATTAGATTATTGAGGTATGAATTGTGCCTTCATTTCTGTATCTCACCATTTATCACAAAAGCTGACAAACGCAGAAAGAAATACTTCTGGACTAAATTTGAAAAATTCAAAAAAGTATTGCCCTCTTGTGTTAACCACAGTGTCTGATTCCTGAAAGCAGCTCTTTCGTGGGACATCAAAACTAGGTCAGGACCAGACTGACTCAGAAATATAGTAGACAACTTTGGGCATCTGCGCTTTTTTAATCTTGGGAATCCCCTATTTAAGTTACATAACAGTGACCTGTTTAGCCCTTAGCTGCCCCAAGGGGCACTTTAGAAATGAAAGGGGGCTTGAAGGCCACTGAGACATGTGTCCCAGGCTCAGTTGACTATGTTAATCATTGAGCTGTTAGCAACAAGTTTTGAACTGGCAGATTTTATTTGCCTGGGATGAGAGCAGAGTTATGGAACGTTATCTCAGGGCTCAGTCTCTAGTAATGTTTACTTTTAGGGTCAATGCTTTCTTATTAATTTGCTCATTAATGGTGTTGATAATTGGCTCAAATGGAATTTTAGATGCCTGCTAATGGCTAATTTACTACATGGCCATAACCTTGAATTTTGAGGGTGAAAATTGTAGTTCCCTTTGGGGCTGCAGTCAGATATGACCATAGGAGAGGTAAAAAAAAAAAATTCTTTTCACTTCATGCCTTCACTGGTTGACACGATTTCTGGGGCCATTTGTCAGTGATCCCACCTGGTATGAAGTAAGATGGATTTAGAAGTCCATCTTATTACAGAGGAGCTTTCAAGTTCAAGTAGTTCATACTCCTCAGATGTATAAAGAAAATGTATTTGCTGTAATTGGTCTAGTTTACTCAGAACCCCATTTAAAAGATAGGTTTCAATGTGTGCATGCTCTGCATGGTGTGATTGCATCATGTGAGATAATTCAGTCACTTTTGGATAAACGATCACACTTCTGGATTTCTTCTGTCTTTCCCTCTGCTATGCAAGATTGTTTCTGGATAAGAGCTTGAGGGATAAAGGTTTTGTTTTTATGTGATCTCATGCATGGGGCGTAAGGACCGAGCACCCACTGGGTATCTCCCGGCTTCTTCCTGATGCCTGCTTTCAACAGCTTGGTGCCGTCTGGTCCCAGGCCTGCTACCGCGCGCGGGGCTACCATCTCATCTTCTGACACTAACTACTGGAGTGTGTGCGCCAGACATTTGCTCCCAGTATAAAATCCTTGCACACTGTGTCCTTTGCCCCATCCTCAGGCTCCCATCTACCCACTGCTCTTCTCAGAATCTCTATGCCCATTGCTCCAGGGGCATGCGACATATTCTGGGCCCCTTGCCTGCTGCACATGAGCCTTGGCATGTGTTATCTCAGCCCTATCTTTCTTGCCAACTCCTGCCCTGCTGAAAGGATGTGATCACATCTGGGACTTCTTCTGGGTGAATGAGACTTGCATCTCCGCATTCACAGGCTCCCTTGTACTTGTCTGGACATTTCTACCCCTCCCTCCACTCCCCTTGGGGTTTCTTCCTCAGAGAAGAAAAATGGGACACCTGTTCAGCTCTCCATCTTACCGTTATTTCTCTTTTTCTCCAGGGGATGGAAGGACATGTGTCCCCGTTTCATATATCCTGTCCCCATCATTCCCACCCCTTCACATGTAGAAGAAAATCTCTATGATCTATCTTGTCATGCGTGGCTCTGGATAGAGTGATAAGAACTTCAAAAACTTCAGTGCCTCCCCTTTTCTAACAGACTCAGACTTAGGGGTGGAAGGCTGCAAGGAAATGTATATTGAATAGGAAATGAAAACACATAGCTTTCATATTTTCAAAACATTATCTTTGTTACATCTAGACCAAGGGTTACGGGTCCTGTCTGGTTATTAAAATCACTGAAGGTCCTTTTAAAAATACTGATGTCTGGACCAGCCACGGAAAAATTAAATCAAAATATTGGATGCTGATCAATCTGATGCTGGGATAGTTTAAGTAAATTGCTCCATATCAATTAGTAAATACATCCCAGCCAGAGGGGTGCCCTTCTGTCCTCCTACACTGCCAAGCAGACCATGGTGCTAAACCAACTATTTATTTATATTCCTAAAGGTATGCAAACCAAAATTATAATTTATGCAATGTTATAATCCGTGTGTGTGTGTGTGTGTGTGTGTGTGTACTATATACATTTCACATGTAATCTACGTAGAAAACAAATCAAGAAAGTTTGCTTTTTTCATGCTCTTCTTTATTCCTTACAATATTACGGTGGAGTTTTGTCATGATGGCTGTGATACCAAGAGGGGGTTCTATATGGAAATGTCTTATGTACTCAGTCATGAAAGGAGCAAATCCCCTTGCTTGCCAGTGATGGTAGAGAACAGCATAGTTTTTGAATCGCACCAGTGTTTCCTTTGTGTTCTTCCCTACTAACTCCATCCCAACTCCACATTAACCTTTTCTTACATTTATAGTTTCTCCGGAGTCTCTTTCAAGGATATCTGATGTTTTAATGATCTTGCAATCTGTGTGGGGGTGTGGGGGATGGGGATAGATTAATTGAGCAGAGACACACAAAACAATACATTTTACTAGTTCCAGGGATGCCACATCTTGTACCAAATCTTGAAAGTAAACACAATCCGTGTGTTTCTTCTGCTTATTTCCATCACTTCTAAAGGAAAAGCAATATGTAAGGACCTTTCTAGATATAAGGTCTCATCTTCTTTCTTTTCTGTTTCCTGATTCACAGTCTCTCTGCCCTCCACCACTCTCCTCCCTTTCTCATCTTGTCTTCTTTTCTCCTCCTCTATTCTCCTTATCTCTTCTCTCTCTTTTCTAACTCCCTCCCTCCACCTCTCTCCTCCTCCAAACAAAAAAGAAGCTTTACAGTTCTCCATTTCTGTGCAACAGAGCAATAAATCCAGCAAAATGATACCCCTGAGGCTGTCAGAAAACCAGGGGCGGGCTGCCTACGTTATTTCTCCAACAACCCCCCCCCATTTAAATAGGGTTCACCTGCCTGAAGCAAAGGAAAAAGAAAAGCTGGGGATCTCTGGGAAGAAGCATGGTATATCAATTACCAATTTCTTTCTTCATCCTCCTCCTTTTAACCACAGCCTCCATTGCATATTGTGTCTATGGAAAAGAAATATTCCCAGTCACCAGATCTCATGAATCATTGTAAAACAATTTATTCCAGGATTTGATCTGGCTCAACTGATTGTAGTTTTCCAACCTGGGGAGCAAGCAAACATCTGTTACAGTGTCTCCTCATATGGAGAGGGGACACTGAGTGAGGCTGTGTACAGGTGCCAGCTGTGGCTACCACCACATTTGGTCTCTACACACACTTGTTCTAAATCTGTCTGGTTGGCAGCTAGTAATATCCACACTCACTTGCACATGCAAACTCATGCGCTTCTTTTTCCTATTGCCCTGAGAACTCATTGAAAATGGTATCTGAAGGTCACGCGAGGAGTAGAGTGCAATGTATTTTGTTATTGACTGCTGCTGATAGAAGTGGCTGTGGCCATGTAGAGAGCTGCCAGTGACTGCCAGTGTCATTATGGCATTTCCTCAGGTTCTAGAGAGCAAGTCATGAATGCACTGATCAGAGCTGCACATCCAAAGATTCCTTTGTCTCTCTGTTTTTCCATTTTCAGCCTGGATGTGTAAATACCACTGAAGTGGACATTAAGAAGTCATCCAGAATGAGAAATCCACACAAAACACGGAAGGTAAAAATCAGCGTTGGTTGGGCGGAGCTTAGGAATGAGCTTTGTACTGTTTAGAAGACGTCTGTCATAAATACCTTTTGTCCCATTTCATAGAGTATCTTTGAGTATTTTCCCTGCTTTTCCTTGTTGCTTGGCTAGAAGAAAACCTGGGAGTTCAAACCCTGGCCTCCTGTCTGTCCTTCCCTTCTCTCCTGAAGAAATAGCCCCATCCTAAGACACTCAGGTGACTGTGACAGGCCTGGCTCTGACAGGAAGGGACTAAGGATGCCGAGGACCCCTCCTCTCTCCATCAGAGAGAAGAGCCATCAGCAAAGGAAGACATCTTTCAAAGTCCAGCAGACGAGTAAAAGTAGATGGAGACTATCTGAGAAAAAGTGATGCTAATGAGAGAAAATTATGTTTAGATAAAAGTCTGAGGGAAAAGGGACATTGTAAAGATGTTTAATTACAGATCTTATATGAGAAATTCCTTTTAACATCAGAAATTTGTGACAAAACCATAAGACAGTGATTGGGTGTTTGGTGTCTTATGTGAGAGAGTACATCATAAACAAACAAAACAGCACTTCAGAATTTAATGGCGTTTTCAATAATTTTTGAAAACATAGCAGTAGTACCTACATATACAGGTTGCCAAACAAATGTACACATTTTAAGAAAGGAAACAACTGTATTAAAATTATGCTGATGGTAACCACTTTGAGTACCTCTTGTAATTGCAGAAGTCAAATGTGAGTTGTTTTCATCTTTTGTTGTCAGTAGATATTGAGTATTACAATTTAAATACAGTTTTGTCCTTTCTTAAAATGTGTATACATTTTCTGGCACACTCTGCATTTATAAAAGTAACACATACATTTAGAAGGCACTTTTATCCATGCCATTAAAAAAATCGCTTGATGCACAGAAGAACTTTTGGCCTATAACAATCACTCTGAGGACATAGTCCAAGGTTAGCACCACTGGATTAAAGCCATTCCCTGTGGCTTTTTCCTTATGTAACCATAGCATTTTCCAGGGCATGTGTCCCTGAAGTAGGCACAAAACATTTATGTTTGTAATTTTATTATTGTTGTCTTCCTTCTTCCATCCCTAGAAACATATGCATCATATCCAAAGCCCCCAATGTGGTTCAAGGACCTTTTCTTTCTTTGAAGAGAGTTTACCTTGATATTTGAATAAAGAAGCCACAGGAAAGGTGCCACAAAACCCACTTGGATGCGCTGCTCAAAAACGTTTGCCCCCAGGAGCTCTCTGAGAGAAAGAGGCCAAGCCAGACCAAAGCAGGCTCATGGGTGCCCTGTCTCGTGACAGGCCCTGCTCGGTTCCTTTTATCCTCTGCTCACAGCACAAGGCTGGGGCCTAACGTTGTGAAACAACATCCAAAAATGTAATCACTTCCCCAAAAAGTGCCTTAAGCAACCTCTCACTACTTTCTGAATTTTGAAGAATTACTCTTTGTAATATCTTACCTCGTGTCAAGTTTCCCCAACAGCCGCTGACTGAGATATGCTCTGATTCGGAAGAGAAAGTAGATGGATTAAGGAGACAGAATGTAAACATAATAATAAAGCAATCATTTACACTCTCTTTTAACACTATACTCAATATTTCTACCTTCCCAATGGTTCACATGGCATCTTTCTTTTTGAAAATTTGAAAAGCAATAGTTGACAATGTTGTTCTTCATAGTCCATCAGGGCTCATTTAATACTGGAAAAACATGAGGAAACAGCAGGGAAAAATACTGCTGCAATGAGGTAGAATCCTTGAGCTCTAGTTGTCTCGGTTGTAGTCTAATTTCCTGTGACTCAGTAATGGTAGAACGCAGGGCCTAACTGCAGAGCTGTACAGCACTAAAGTCCCAAGAGAAAAACTAAAGTTCAGGAGAATGCTCTAGCAAGTAGCATGCATGCCCTTGGGTGTAACAGTTTGAGAACACTGTCTTTCTTACCTTTTGATAAATACAGCTTCTCACAGTCAGAAGTGTTGAATGTGCTAGAATCTTCACAAATAATGTTATTTTACATAGAAGACTATGGGACTCTAAGCCACATACTGGTTTGTCCTTTAGAATTATCACCACTGCTACTTTAGCTCCTGTTTGGCTAGGAAGTGGAACGATCCGTTCAATCAGTGGATTTACTAAGTCTCTCCTTGAAGCCAGGCATGTACTGCTCTTCAGGTATTTGCCAGTCAGTGGGAAGGCCCTGACCTTGCTCCCGCAACACATGATCTAAGAAGAATGCACACACTAAACAGGCAGACAAGCAAATGTCTACACGTATCATTACATAATTTTGTTAAGTGTTATATATTAGTCTGCTCTGGTTGCCATAACAAAATACCACAGACCGGGTGGCTTAAGCAATAGCAATTTATTTTCTCACAGCTCTGAAGACTAGAAATTCAAGATTTAAGGTACTGGCCAGTGTGGTTCCTGGGGAGGGCTCTCTTCCTGGCTTGCAGATAGCCGCCTTCTAGCTATGTCCTTCTATGTGAGGCAGGGCTAGGAGAGAGCAAGCACATGGATGGCACTCTGCTGTCTCATTCTCTTAGATTAAGGCCCCACCCTATGACCTCGCTTAACTTTTATTACCTCGTTGTAGACCCCCGTCTCCAAATCAAGTCACTTTGGGGAGTAGGACTTCAACATAGGAATTTTAGAGAGACACAACTCATTTCATACATGTTATCAAGGACATTTAAAAGGTTTGTGATTCTAAATTGCCACACCACTTTATCAACGAGTAACTTGACAACAAGCAGCTAACTGGCCCATCATCCTCTGAGGGTTTCCCGGCTTTGTCCCAATGGAGCAGACAGTTCTGTGGGATTGCGAGCCCCAGACAGAAATGGCAGAGGCCAGCCTACCACCTCTGGAAACTGCCTTGGTCTCCGTTGGGAATTGGTCTGTCTCCTTCGCTCGTTCTCTTAGCTGTGTGATCTCCCTCTGTCTTACATTGCTGCTGGTGAGGAAGTGGAATCCCCGGACCTTACTTCATCTCTAAAAACAGATACAGCCCTTAGCACAGAGTTGTTATTCATTTCTTTGGGATGCAGCTGTAATGATATTTCTTGACTATGTGTCATAACAAGAATAAAGGGCCCAGTAAACCCCTAACACAATAATCTAGTATATGTACCAAAGAATGCAGAGTTTGGAATGTTATATTTAATTGCTGAATTCAAACATATGAAAAGAAGGCTTAGATGTATATCTGACCTGTGATATTTTTAAGTATTTGGGATTAGTCAATTTTTAAATGTATCTTTTTAAATCTGACTTTACTAAAATACAAAGCAAGAGGTAATTTGCAGTCCCTCCAATCTCTATGCAGGAATGATGACATAGCATAATCAGAGAGAAATGAGCCCAATGTAGGCAAATTTAAGGAACACCATGTGTCTGATAGTTTTCAGACTGCTTCTAAAATTTTAACTATAATAGGTCAGTCTGTGTGTTAACCAGCATTCTCCCGAGAAACAGAACCAAATATATATATATATATATATATATATATATATATATATAGAGAGAGAGAGAGAGAGAGAGAGAGAGAGAGAGATTTTAAGGAATTGGCTCAGTGATTATAGCGGCTCAGAGAGCACTAAAACTGATAGGGTAGCCCAGAAGACTAGAGGCTTGAGAACCAGAGAATAACTGCCATCTGCTGACAGATTCGCTCTTGTTTGGAGGAGGTCTGTCTTTTTGTTCCATTCAAGTCTTTAACCGATTGGATGATGCCCACCCACACTATGGAGAGCAATCTGATTTACTCGAAATCCATTGATTTAAATTTTAATCTCGTCCAAAACATAAAACATTGTCACAGAAAATCCAGAATAATGTTTGATCAAATATCAGCACTGTGATCTGGCCAAGTTGATACATAAAATTAATCGTCATAGGCTGATCCTTCTATATGACAATAGCTGTAGGGATCCTAGAACAATATAAATGGAAAATGACAAAAGCATTCATGCAGATGTGACTGAACCCACATTTCAGATTGCTTCCTGTAACCTCAGAACCCCTATTTCAAAGCAGCAGTAGATTGTTTCTTGTTGTGCTTTCTTTTCTCTGTCCCCTTCATTTGGACGTTATGGCACCTGATATTTTAGTTAACGGCTAACATGTACGTCGTAGAAGAACAATTAGCAAATTCATGATTGGTTGTCTAGTTTTTTCCCCTGTGAATACAGTGGTGATAGCTGTTTATACATAGAAAGATTGGCATTTCCTCCCTTCTACCTGCAGCATGTGTAATTTTCAATTTTAATGTGTTAGATAAGAGGATAAACTACTCATAGCTTAGAGTAACACCAATAAGGAGTCCAGAGAGTTGCAGGCAACAG